GAGAATATCATGCTAAGTGAAATAAGACAGACAGAAAAAGACAAGAACCTTATGATTTCACTCATGTAGAATATAAAACAGAAAACAGCAAACAAACAACTCATAGACACAGACAACAGTATGATGGCTACCAGAGTATGGGGTGGAGGGGAAGGCAGAAGAGGGTAAAGGGGGTCAAATATATTGTGATGAAAAGAGAATTGAATTTAGGTCGTGAACACACACTGCAATATATAAATGATGTATTAAAGAACTGCAGTTGAAACATATAATCTTATTTACCAATGTCACCCCAATACATTTAATAAAATTAAATAAAAGAGAAAATCCTCTCATTGTGTATGTTAGTCTGTTTGGGTCTACATGAATAAACGTAATACTGTATTGGTGAACAAGCTGAGCTACTAAATCCCACCTTAAATCTTGCCCACAGTCTGGGAAAAGTCCTGGCTCCTGTCCAGGGGCTGGCTAACACCTCTATGTCACTGCCTCACTGGCCCCAGACAGGAAAACAATCTGTCACACTACTGGTTCCACATGGAACTGCATAGCCACAGCTGTCCAGATGCCAGGTACAGCGGGTACAGTTGAATGATGTTCAGACCTTGTACTCAGTGCTTCAGTATCCAGAATCCTCTTGGCCATATGAAGTTAAGTGGCTTAGACCTTACCCTGGCTTCCTAAAGGCTGGATGACAATCGTGTGAAACACCCCTGATAACTTATAGTTCACACGTTTTTCACATTTTAATATTGTTAATATTTAAAATTTAAAACACTATGGGAATTTCTTTAAAAGTTCTATTTAATAATATTTTACCCTTTAGATTTTAATTATCTATTCTCTTTCCCTTAATTTTTATATATAAATGTATGCTGCTTTTATGCTGAAGGTTAATCTGTAATCCAATTTTTGTAAATGAAAAACATGTCAAATGTAGAATATCTAATATAATATTTCAAATAAAATTCTAAGTTAACATTTAACAGTAAATATTTTTCTTACTGATAGAATTTTTTTCTATAATTACTACGTGATTTAGAAAAATTTGCAAGTTCTTTTTGCTGCAGCAACTAATTTCCAGGGTCTGAATTTAAAAACATGCTTTTTAAAATCCTTTTCAAAAGAAAACCATTAGAAAACTTGAATTGCCCCCCTGAAAATCATGAATGACTGGTTCTTTCATTATTATCATTAAAACTGAGACTAATTCAAGTTTTAAAATACCTACATAGCCTTAATTAATGCAAACTATATTTCTGGAGTTCCTCAAATTTATTCTTATTATTACACAAATTTATTTATAACATTTGCAAAATTTGACACAAGTTTTATACACGCTTGGTATTTTAAAAAGTGAAAAATTCACTTTTTTCTTAGGCTTCAAAAGTAATATTTATTTCTATCCACAGAAAAATTTGCAATTTTTAAATATAACATTTAAATATGTATCTGGGATTTCATTATACTGGTAAAGAAATAAGTCCACAGCTATGCATTCTTTCAGCACTTTATATATTCTGTTCAAGGAATGAAAAATCAGAGAACCTTCATTTTTTTACCAATGAAAATTTCATCATAGAAAGGATTTAGAAATTCACTGTAAATATTTATACAAAAGACACAATTTAAATGACTATTGCAAAGGCATTTTTAAAGAAAAAAATATAAAACTTCAAATAGATTTAGGTTATGTATAATTTAACCTGACTTCAGTTTTGTAACTTGGGGGCAAAAATAATAGCTTCATTAAAAGCCTTATTTTTAAATGATTGAAGTAACTCCTAGAATACTATCATCAGTTCAACTTCTTACTTAAGACTACTTTCCATAAGCTTTAGGGAGGACTACAAATTATTTCATTACATAGCTCCTAGTAATACACCCCAGCTTGTTCTTTAACCATGGGAGACACTAAAGTTATGTGTACTTTTACTACCCCACCCCCAGATTGCCTAAACTCTTATGTACTCTGAAATATGCATTATGTTCTCCACTCTACAAACGTTATAAAGTAAGCACAGTCATTGAATTTCAGTCACTGTAGGCAGCAGTATAAAATACCCATTATCATAGCAGGACATAGCAAAGAGAGAACCTCTATCTTCACAATATTATAAATTATGTCTAAAGAAAAAAACATACATATGTGTAAATATACATACACATATGCACTTCACATTTAGTGAATGGGAATGAAGTTGGTTAAGTTTGAGTTCAGAACACCATCTTGCCTGTCTGTGACCTTTTCCCCTGCAAGGGGCTTCCAATAATTAGGCTTTATGCTCACTCAATCATTTACGCTTGGAAAGATGTTTTTTGGTTTTGGGGGAGTTTTTTTGTTAATATGTTTTTATTGATTTCAGAGAGGAAGAGAGAGGGAGAAAGAAAAACATCAATGATGAGAGAGAATCATTGACTGGCTGACTCCTACGTGCCCTGGAGTTGGGATCAAGCCCGCAACACGAGCATGTAACCTGACCAGGAATCAAACTGTGACTCCTGGTTCCTAGTTCGACGCTCAATCACTGAACCACACCGGCCAGGCAGAAAGATGCTTTCTTGACAGGACATGATAAAGCAAATTATTTTAACATGTAAATAATGGATAAGAGTTCTATCACTATTTGCAGAAGATAGGTGTTTAGTTTTGTTTTGAGCAAGAGACAAATCGTTTTAAAACTGATTGATCTTAATTGTATATTTCTTCCAGAATCAATGAACAGGTGAGAAAGATACACTGAAGGAAATGGATTTATTTTTCTTTTCTTTTTTTTAAAAACTTTTTTTATTTATTATCTCTATTGTTGAAAGTATTACAGATGTCCCCTTTGTTTGTGAAATGAGAGCCCAGTGCATGGGAGAACATATTTGGCAATGGTGCATCTGATAAAGGGTTAATCTCCAAAATATATAAGGAATTCATACAACTTAACAAAAGGAAGACAGACAATCCAATTTAAAAATGGGCAAAGGACATAAATAGACACTCCTCCAAAGTGGACATAAAGAAGGCCAAGAGACATGAAAAAATGTTCAGTCAGTAATCATCAGAGAGATGCAAATTAAAAGGACAATGAGGTATCACCTCACATCTGTCAAAATGGCTATCATCAACAAATGACAAGTGCTGGTGAGGCTGTGGAGAAAATGAAACCCTAGTTCACTGCTGGTGGGAAAGTATACTGGTACAGCCACTGTGGAAAACAGTATGGAGTTTTCTCAAAAAATTAAAAATGGAACTCCCATTTGACCCAGTGATCTCACTTTTTAAAATCTTTATTGTTGAAAGTATTACATATGTCCCCTTTCCCCCCCCACTTTCGCCCCTCCTAGTCCACCCCATTGTCCCACCCCAGGCTTTCACCACCCTTTTGTCTGTGTCCATATATGCATACAAGTTCTTTGGTTGATCTCTTCCCACCCACCCATCCACCCCCACCTTCCTTCTGAGATTCTACAGTCTGTTCCATGCTTCTATGTCTGTGGATCGATTTTGTTCATCAGTTTATTTTGTTCATTAGATTATGTACAAACACCATGCAAGACAGCAGGGTGAAATTATATCACATAAGCAGTGACCTATACTACTTACATATAAGGTTAGCCATAAATCCTGTCACAATATACTTCCTGGGCTGACTTACATTTCACCTTGTCTTATACTGAAATCTAATTGGTTCAGGAACTAAATATAAGCAACTATATGAAGACAATACATTTTTTTAAATTCCTGCAATTTGATGAAGATTAGATAACATGAGACACATGAGAGGGAGACAGAAGAGAAGCTACAAGTTATATTTTTAACAGCTCACTGGTGTTTCAATGTAATAGACTTACTTACATTTCACCTTGTCTTATACTGAAATCTAATTGGTTCAGGAACTAAATATAAGCAACTATATGAAGACAATACATTTTTTTAAATTCCTGCAATTTGATGAAGATTAGATAACATGAGACACATGAGAGGGAGACAGAAGAGAAGCTACAAGTTATATTTTTAACAGCTCACTGGTGTTTCAATGTAATAACGTTCTTCACCTGGATGCCTACATGCAGTCCAGCTAAAAACTGATAACTTTGGTTTCTGTTTGTTCCACATTAAATCTTACAATGCTGAGTAAAAAAGCAAATGGCGATACCATTACTGCATTGACTGCTGAAATAAATTGAATCTTATTACTTTAGACATACAGCATGAGTTCATGTTTGTACTTCAAACATGAAATCACAGGAATGTTATATTAATTAATGTTTTCTGAAATCAGACATCACAGAAAGAACTAAAATGTTCCAAAGCTAGACTATTGGGCAAAAATGATAATTCTCTCGCCCTGGCTCATTTCGCTCAGTGGTTACAAGTTCAGCCTGCACACCAAAGGATCAAAGGTTCAATTCCCATTCCTCTCACATCCTTTCACCTCGCTCTCTCCCTCCCTCCCTCTCTCCATTCCTCCCTCCCTGCCACTCTCTTTCTCAATGGAAAAAACAACAACAAAAAACAACAAAATGATTTCTTTAAAACTTTTGAACACTTCTTCTAAATTTCTAGAGGCTTCCTAGGTAAAGTAGAAAAGAAACAGCAATATCATGAATCAATAGTGTTGATCAAATAGGCTGAAAAAATAATTAGAAAGTATATTACAACCCAAATCATACACTCATATTTGGAAAAGTAAACTCTCAAGTTCCAAAAGATCTTAACTTTTGGTATAATCCATTAGCAGGACATAAAAGCATTTACATATTCTAATGAAGCCTTTATTCTTATTTTTATAGTCCATCCATGGAGAAGAATTTTATGAGTTATTAAAACTTTTAAAACACCAAATGACACCACAAGGCAAGTTCACACTTTTGTATTAGTTTCTGCAATAACTATATATTTCAAAAAGTTACCTCTATGACCACTGTATGCAAGTAACAGTCTGATGATCTGGTGTGTACATAATTCAATTCGTTAATAGTTAAATTTAATGAAGAAGCTAACTTACCGGTGGATCAGCCCCCTTAGAACCAGTCAGACCTCCTGTTAGGGATTCGATATCCTGAAAAGGGGAGAGGTGTTGATTGTAAAATGCTACTCAACAGCATGGAGAACTTCCCAGTCCCACAGTGTAATATTTTCTTTAAGCTACAAACTTAGGTAACTAAGCTACATTTGTTCTGTTTTTAGACCATCTTGCTATACAAATACTACACAAATAGCCTGTATCTAAAAATTTAGATTTGTTTCCAACTCTGTACAATCTATAAAAACAAAAAGTATAAATAGACGAAGTGTTCCTGACTATACAAAAAAAAAGGCTGTAGGTGGGAGAGCAGATGTTTTGTTCTCTGAGGAGCTGAAGTAAGTGCAGAAAGGAAATGAAAAAAATTAATTAAACTTCAATATAATACAGTATATCATTTGCAAGAATACTAATCCCATGGAAAATGCTGAACCTATAGAAATGATTCAATCACCCATAGTCCATCTGTTCTATGATAGGGGTACAAGGGTAGAATAAAATAGGATTGCTTTTTTCCCCCTCCTCTTCCTTTCTCTTTCATTCCCGCCCCCTGCTTTACTAACAGGATGTGTAAGTAATTGATTCATCAATGGTATGTGTTTAACCTTATGTTCTGGCTAAGATTTTGTTGCAGTTCTCAGTTGACCAGACAAGAACAGAGACTTTTAATCCAGCCCCGGACTTACATGCCTGGCCACCAGGAATGCAGAGGCTGATGGATTAGGTCTCAGAAACACTGGGATGATGCACACCCGATCTCCACTTGACCGGTTTCAGGACACTGGCCATCCTGTTCTGAGGACCAGTAATGAAGGCATTCATCAAGACCCAGGACCCCCACAGGGACTCAAATTTCAGAACCCTCTGTACCCTTACCCAGACTCTCTTCCCCTGATTCCCCTATAAAAGCTTATTCCTAACAAGCTTAAAGGGAAGGCGGATGTTAGGGTTTTCACCTGTTACCTTCCCAAATTTCCAGCATCTGATATTAAGCACGTTTATAAACTAACCCAGTGGTTCTCAACCTTGGCTGCACATTAGAATCACCTGGGAATCTTTTTAAAATCCTGATTTTGGGGCCTCATCCTCCGGAAATTCTGTTTCTTTGTTACTAATGTTGTGGCCCCACCCCATAACAAAGAAACAGAATTTCCGGAGGATGAGGCCCCGAAATCAGGATTTTAAAAAGATTCCCAGGTGATTCTAATGTGCAGCCAAGGTTGAGAAGCACTGGTCTAACCCCTGTCTCTGCATTTTGGCTGGATGGTGACGGGTAGTAGCAGGAGCACTGGACTCGGTTGACCCCCGGTTTCATACATAGATGAAACTATAAACAGATAGGGATAGATTAGCTACTCTTTTACAAGGATCATTTCTAATCTTGAGTCAGTAACCAGAGGATCATGCCTGAGTAGACTGATTGGCAAAGGTATTGCCAATGGAGAAATGAGTGATGCTGTGACACACTGGAGAGCATGCATATTGCAGGGATAAGTAGAGCTCAGCCTGGCCATTGCAGGGCTTTGGTTCTAGGGTTTCTAATCATACCACTTTGCCAAAAGAAGCTAACCGTCCACGGTTTTAAGTAAAATCTCTCAGGATGTTAACGTTTGCAAGTGTTTTGATTTTAAAATCATGGGCCCACACCTCCAAAATGAAAAAGCAAACAAACAAGAAACTGTCTGCTCAAAGGCTGTCAGGAGTTTGGGGTTACCTTGAAGAGTTACACTATTTGCTAAAAAGTTTCTTTCGTGTGATCCTGGTCACTTCTTATATGTTTGCATCTCGTACATATAGGGTTGAGGAACCTGGGGAAATATTGTTGTATTAAAAAAATCAAATGAAAGAGAAATAAAGATAGAAGAAAATAGATACCTATGATCAGAGAAACAGCCAACACCTTGATATCATGAAGATTTATGTTACTAGTTCGTTGGGACTTAATCACATCATTTCCCTGGTTATCTCAAAAAATGGGGAATCTTAACAACAAATATGGGGCTCAAATGAGCATGTGAAGAAAACACTGAAGGCAGGGGAGAAGGAAGGGATGGTGCAATGCAAGTTTCCATTTGGAGAAGCTGATTCTAAATGGGAACTCAGTGGGTGATGAATTTCTACATGCATATTTTATTAGGGCCATAAATGACAAAAAAATCACAAGGGATGCTAGCCAAAAAAATTAAGTTGTCTTCTCTGTAATGGATATATTGTATATAATATGTTTTCCTATCCAGCATTCCTTTGGGGAACCCTCCTACTCCCTGACTCGAGCTCCATAAAAAGGCTTATAAAAATTGCTTCAAATGTTGTAAGAGCCTGCCAGAGAATTAAGGCAATTTAGGTTCTGGAAAGTATAATGGTATAGTCGAAGTCCGTAATTTTATTGTATGAACAATGTTTGATACTAAATGTTCTCCCTACCTTCAAACTTTAGATCATTTCTGGCTCTCAAAAACGAAAAGGTCCTAATTAATACTCCTGCATTGTTCTATTTTTAAAATGTTCCCCCTCTCCATCCTGTTAAAATTCTTTATTCCAATACCATACACACTATAAACAACCAAATCACCTGCATTATTAGATCTTGCATGTTCTTTAACATTTCTATTAAGTCATCTGTAAATTATGTCCTTAAAAGCAAAGTATAAAACATATACATAAGTTGCCCAACAAAATTAATATTCCTTATAAATCCAAAGATTATATAATTTTTAAAAATGTTTCAGAGTTTTAAGGGATGAACTGAGAAGACTTGGTAGTGAAATGGCTAAACTATTAGATGAACAGAAAAAACACACAACCCATTTTCCTGTTATGACCATGACAAAAATAAAGTTCCAAATTCTATTCCTATGAAAGGTTTATTGTGAGTACATTTAAAATGAAAGAAAATTATGTTAAGTGCATTTTGAGTTAATACCTTCTGTTCTTCATAGAAAGGCATATAACTTAAATTAACAGTAGAATTGCTGATGGTATTACCAGAGATAATAGAGAAATTGATTCAGTTTTAAAAAGTACTTTAGCAATTTGATGCATTTTGTCATAGTCTTAAAAGTTCCATCACGAATTTCTTGCTATCATAGATAAACTGGGAAAATGTTCAGGTTTCTAAAATCTTAAGCTTTTCATGATAGTCATGGTCCTGAGAAAAATAAAGCAAATGAGAATTTAGAAAATAAATAGAAATGCATTGATATTTATGGTTTTTAACATGTTGAATTAAAGCAAACGCTGAACTCATGGCTGTAAACAGAGTATAGATGTACATTTTTATTCCATTCACTTGTTTAATTGAAAAACTTTTTTGAGCTTATGTTCTACTTTGAGCATAAGTTGAAAAAGAGTACCCTACTTGGACAGACATCCTGTTAAACATGTTTTATTTCTCAATAAAAAAAAAAATTCAGGTATGGATGAGCGTAAGTGTGGATAAATGCTTTTTTGTGGTAAAATTAATAGGTTAAATAAATAATTATTTTTAGATGCTCTGAACATAATTAAAAGTGAGTAAATTTTTTTATGGTTATTAAATATTTTACCTATAAAATATAACCGAAACCCTTGACGAATGTATCAATCTTGTTTAGATAGATTATTTTAAAAAGTTTTTAAAATATATTTTTATATAGATAGCAAACAAAGGGGACATCAAAAAGTAAATACATTGATATCCTAGGAAACTTTTAAACTAACTACTGTAGTAATATTTATTTGATTAAAAAAATTTAAAACAAACTTTGATTTTTTACTGTTACAGAATTTATTAACTCTATTATACTTCATGCTTTAGATTTAATAGCTAGTAAACTAGCTACCACTTATTGAACATTTACATTCCAGGCACTCTCTTTAAATGCTTTATACACATTATAAACAACTTTATAATGTTGTTATAGCAGCCTTATAAGTGTGGACAAAAAGGGCCCACATGCTAACCTGACAAGCTCAGGGGGGCCTATGGAGTGGCCTTGCAAACTCAGAGACATAAAGTAACCACAAAGGATGGTCTGAAATTAAAACTTTCTTAATTAAAATGCAGTCTATGGTACGTAGTCATATTCTAGGCTGGTACCTTCCCTGACAAAGATCAACCTTGACCTCAACTGAGCCTATTGTCCTTTTTGCATCTACTATAACATACCTTTGGAGTGTCAGGGTTACTTCCCTTTTTCTGGACCCTTCAAAGCACAACCAATGCACTGGGGCAGAAACCATAAATTCCCTCATTGTTATTGTTATCTGTTATTGTTATCATGTTAAGTATTGACCCCTAACTATCCTGTACCCAACTATGTAAAAGAAGTATGTGTCTATCATTTTACTTTTTATCCAGTCCCAGAGGTTTCCACCCCCTTTGCTTTTTCCCCACCTCCCTAATCTATCACCAATGGACTTCATGTAACCCTCTTACATCTCTTCTTTTAATTGTAATGTGTAAAACAGCGGTTCTCAACCTGTGGGTCGCGACCCCTTTGGGGGTCGAACGACCCTTTCACAGGGATCACCAAAGACCATCGGAAAACACATATATAATTACATATTGTTTTTGTGATTAATCACTATGCTTTAATTATGTTCAATTTGTAACAATGAAAATACATTCTGCATATCAGATATTTACATTACGATTCATAACAGTAGCAAAAATACAGTTATGAAGTAGCAATGAAACTAATTTTATGGTTGGGGGTCACCACAACATGAGGAACTGTATTAAAGGGTCGTGGCATTAGGAAGGTTGAGAACCACTGGTATAAAACAAGGTGCAAAACTGTCATTCCCAGGAGCCTTATCTCAATTCCTTGAGATTCTGTTTCCCAGCAACTGTCAAACAGTTTGGCTCAAATAAACTCACACAAATTCTTCAAAGGTTCAAATGTTTCTTACGATAACACTAGAGGCGTAGTGCATGAAATTCAGCCCGGCCTGCACCCTCTTCAATCCAGGACCCCTCAGGGGATGTCCGACTGCCGGTTTAGGCCCAATTCCTGTGGGATCAGGCCTAAACCGGCAGTCAGACATCCCTCTCG